TGGAAATTTTGACACCAAGATCATCTTTCTACAACAAACCGTTGAGAAGTTATGCTAATTTAAAGGTTTTGACTTTGACCCCCTCTCCCCCCTTTTCCCTGGGGGTTAGGCAAAAAATATGACCAGTTTTGAGTGTCTGGGAAGACCCTCTATCATTCCTGAGAAAATCGTACGATTCCGTGTTTAGGCCGATTTGGCCGTTTTGTTGTAGGGTCCTTTGTTCATTGTAAAATATACCAAAATTAGTTTAGTGCTCAATTTGACTAGAGTAGACTCTGGTTTTTTTCTACGAAAAAGTAAATTAGCAGGGACAAAACCTGTTATTTTCTAACTTATGAGTTGAGTTTGGAAAGTTACAACACAATCATTGTATTCTTTGTAAAATGTTGATAGGAAACAAAAAACATATAGTGCGGTTCTTAATTTTTTAGTACATTACTTCAGTGTTTCACAATTAAACAGACAAAAACTCTGCTTCGCAAGATAAACGACTTTTCTGCATCTTCCTTAATATTGCAAAAAATAAATCTGAATTGTATGCATTTTGTTCTTAATAAAGGTAAGGATGAGTTTTAAAATCTTTGAGATATCACTTTGACCTCTACTGACTGGTTAGAAAAGTCTTAAAGTGGACTTCATTTTACACTAAGGAGCTACTATTATGGGCTCAACCATTAAATCACGTTTTTAAATAGGAAAACCAATGACAAGAGCTCTGTTTTTAACATTAGCCAGAAATAGTAAGTATGTATTGTATGTGTGATGCGTTTCAAGTTTATACAAGGTTGATTTACCTGAAGTTCCCCGAGGGTTTGCTTAAAGTTGAGGAAAGCTATCTTCTGCTCCTCGCCCAATGAACCAACAATGTCTTCCACCTGTTGCCAAGCATTATGTACACTGCTGATTTTGTCCCTGATTCGGTCACGAGCTGCCTCAGCCTATGGAGAAGAATAAAAATGAAGGTTTGAGAAGGTAGAATAAGGCCGGAGTTTTAAACGATATTTAACCATTGAGTGCTCAATCAGGAAACAATATGTAAACAGGGTTTCCACGATTTTTTCATTTGCTGATTCCCTCACTTTTTTGCTTCTTCAGTCCCCAAAATTTCTACATTTCCTAACCTTGAATTAAAACCTCCACTAAGATTGATTATCTTTTAAACGGGCTCACTTTTGCTTAACTATTCTCAAATATTGTTCGCACTTCTTTGAATACTCATATCACCAGCTAAAGTTGCTGAGCTGACAAAATTCTCGTAAAGTTCCCTGACTTCTTCAAGTCCCTGTCCATTCCCTGAGGAGGCAGTTAATTTTTGGAAAGACAGAGAAAGCGCTAAGTTTCTAAATGGCCTTCTTTCGTAAAACCCATTAAAATATTGAACATCACCTTGCCATTCATGAGTGATGAGCACTGATAATACATCATGAGACATCTTAACTTTATTCAGCTCCAAAATATGCTGGAATTTCATGGTGCCACAAAACGACATAGATGTTTGCACATTTTACATTACTTAATCAGAATTTTTCGAAAAATATGACGACCACGATTCCGACAAATAAGCTGAGCATTAGTTTGTTTACGTTCGTAGTACCAAGTTATGCATTCGCTTTTCTTGTACAGTATTTCAACTGTCAGTTTTCTCCAAACTTGCATCAAGTTTTCCCCAAAATTACACTTTTTGAACCGTTAACTTGAGGCCAGTAAATATTTGAAGGGAGTGAACCATTATTATTACCCTTACAACATCGAATGATGACTAATTTTCTACAATAAGTCATTTCATAAACGGAATACTAATCAACACTGAGACTTGAATGTGAGCATATTTTTCACAATTTCGGATTAACTCACAAAAAGATTAGAGGTTTGAGGTAGCTTAGTGATCTGTTAGAAAAATAGAATGAGGAAAAAAAGTAGGCAATGTGAAATGCAATTAAGCAAATTCCTGTTAACGTCCATTCCAGGACTTCGTACAGCAAGCTTCATGCCGTCATGCCACATTACTGAGACCTCAATTTTCAGTGTTAGATGGCTAAGGTCCCTCTTTAACGATCCCAAACAATAAAATACTAGAAATTCGAAAGGAGCTTTCCTATTATTGCAGCCTGACCAGTTTGGCTCCTCAGATCACTGCAATTCTTCCTTTCTTTTAACTTACCATTTGAGCTCTTTCGAATAGATTAGTGCTCTGTAGAATGGCGTCATTTAAAGCCTCTGCCAGGATTTTATTCTTTTCAATGAGGATTTTCATGTCTGACCTCAGATTGGAATGCTCAGGCGGGCAGGAAGAGCCGTTCAAAGCTTTGGCTTGAATGAGCTCGTGACGCAACTGTTGTATCTGAAATTAATTTTGAAAATAAAGATGATATAAATAATGTCTAAGTTTTTTTTGTGAAAGCACTTCAAATGATAAATATAAAAAACTGGCAATTCAATACTTGACAGGGTTGCCACAAAATTAGGAAGATGAATTACCCTGCTATTTTGTAAGTGAAATTCCCTGGCATTTCAAGATATATCAAATGATTAAAAAGAGCTAAAAAAAACACCTTTTCCAAACCCGAGCATGCAACTGTTTGAAAAAAACGAACACATTCTGAAAGGTGAATAAAGGTGATATAACAATATTTCCTTGGCTAAAGATTCAGGATAAAATTCATCTGGATTTGGTATCACAAAACTAATCCTCGGCTAAAGTCTATCCATCTGACAGAAAGGTTCTTTGTGCTAATCATCCTGTGCCTGCAGATCTATTGTACACAATACTACAGAGAGAAATGGTTTATTTATTTTTTTTTACCAATGTCAAATAGCCGATTGGCTAATCCCACACTTATTATCTCAGCCCCACGTGACCATTGCCTGAGACCATCAAACTCAGATCACCTGGCCGGGAATCGAACCCGGGACCTCTTGGTCATAGGGCCTGCGCTACAACCACTACACCACAGGAGGCCGACAAATGATGGTGGCCTGTCTTGATTTAGGGACCGTTTAGTGAATCAATTGATCATGTCATTCAGGAGGTCACAATGAAGTTTCTGATTTTCAGAAAAACAGCGCTTGATAAAACAGAGTGGATTGAAATTTTGCGTCAGGAAGATAAAATATGCTGCCTGACACTGAGGAAACTGCTTGAAACCTGCTAGGTAAAACACTTTTGATAATTTTCTACTAAAGTGTCTTCTTTTTGGTTTAGTTTCCTTTGACAAGGGCATAGTAAAAGCCATTAACGGAATGACCACCACGTCTTGTTTCTGCTCTATAGCTTTGTGTCGTTCATTGGTGTTTTTGCATGCCTTGAGTACTAGCGATTTAAGTACTATTTTTTACATATAATTCTACAAGAACCACAATGGTGCAGCTGGACCTTGGATCTCTCTGAAATGGGATCCAAAGCTGGTACTGAACTTACCTCTTTTTTCAAGCTACCGATTTCAGCAACTGTAGGGTCAGTATTAATGATCGGCTTATTTTTGATGCGTCTGGCACGATCAGCATAGCGTAGAGTGCTTATAGTCTCATCTTTGTTGAAGGCAGCTGGGCTTACACACGCAATCATCATCGTTACTGAATTTCCACCCAAAGAATCTGTTCAGAAAATACCGAGTCAATGATGATGAGAAAGCATTATTAACTTTTCATGGCAACTTAGTAATATTTTTCGAGGGATTGGGTTGAGTTTCGGTTACAGTGACAAGTTTATACAGTAAGATACATTTGATGCAAAGCCTTCAATTTCAGCCGCATGTATATGCTGTTTCTTTTTGACTGTTTAATTACCCAAGGACCCAAACTTGTGACGGATCATCAGATTTAGCACGAAGGAACGTATCTTGTTTGTTCTGTTTCAGTATTTTTAATGCAATTTGTCTTATCATGGGAGAACCATCTCACGAATTCATTGGAAAATTTTGTAGTCTTTTTTCACAAGTGTTAAGAGAAATCACTGCAAATTTCAGTGACAATTCTTAAAAGAAATAAAATGTTCAGGAGAAACACTGAATCAGCGCAACTTGGATATATTCCTTCATGCGACAGACAAGGAGATATGAAAGATCATGGCTCAACAGTTCTTGGCATTTCGGCCCTTTTGTAAATGAACGGTTCAATTGTCATTGCCAGAAGAACTAAATATTAACTGCAAAGTAAGAATTCAATTAATTATAACACACACAAGCAAGCTCTCAATGATAGCTAACCATTCAGTGAAGCGATTGGTATTGCGGAGCTATGATGTAGTTTTTTCAAGTAGAGTTCTATTTAGACAATACAGGTGCACGACACACACCAACTGTATAGAGTTAGCATAACACTATCACACAACCTGAGGAAAAAAGGCTAAGACTGAAGCAGAAAAAGTCACGACATTTCGCTAATATTCTCAGGAATTTTCAATTGAAAAAAGAAAAAATAAAAAGAAAAATTTGAAAAGGTCTAAATAAAATGTTGATCATCATGAGTGGCGGTAGCCACCACCGGGCAAGTAACCTATCCTCCAACAATTGGCAACACAGCACAGCCCGGTCGAGGCAACGACACCATAGTTACACGAACTTGGCTTATTTGGGTTTTTAGTTGCGGTCCGGTAAACTTTTAAAAGCAACGGAGCGACGGATTTTAGAAATTTTGGTGTCTATAGATGCGTCTTGATCCCGTCTAACGAACTGTCTAGTTTCAAGGAGGTTGATGATTTATTAAACGAGATAATTACGCATATGTGCCTAAAATAGCGAAAAGTATCCACTTTTCACGTTCGGACAAAGCTATGGAGAATACGAGACATCAGAGCCCTATATAATGTTATATCAAAAGAATTGTCTTGTTCCCGTGTAGTGTGCGTTTTAGTTTCATTAATATCCAAGGCATCCTAAGAGAAATATTGCGTCTAAACTGCTTTTCGGGTGCAATGGGCAACCCGACCCGCCGACGCTTATCATTGAATTTCTCGCTTACACTATTCTGGAATGAAGTTATGGTTATTTCCTGGAATCATCTTGAAGATATTAAAAAAATTATAAATAAAACAAAAATTATACATAAGTTGGGGTTTACTTTTACCGTTTAGGCTGTATCTTGGACAGCAACTCGAAAATCATGAAACCCGACTTCACTAACACATACACACGGTAATCATGAAACCCGACTTCACTAACACATACACACGGTAGAGTAACAGTGTTAGTGCTCTCTGCAGTCATCAACTCACGAGCAAAACAAACCACGACATGGACATGATCAAGAACGATCGAAACAATATGAAATCATTTGGTTTCAATGATTTCAATCAATTTACGACTTCAACGATGTTTGTGACAATCATTATCATCGTGTTTTACAACCTGGAGCAGAAGTCCATCGCCTCATTGTGAAGTGAATTCTGAATATCCCTTCTTAGAACTCAAAACCTCAACATTCTTTTCTCTCATTGTTCTCTCTTCATTTCTGGTTCAAATCAAGTGATTTAAAGTCGCTTCACTAAAATTATGTGATCCTGAATCCATTCAAGAGTGTGAAGCTCACATTTTTCTGGCATTACAGCCTTTTTACTCCTCAAATTCTACGGATATGAGTCCATTTCGCTCAAGGTTTCTCTGAGCGATACCAAGTGTTTATACATTTAAGATAAGTCAGATTTGTCTTTAATGTTTGTTAAGAGTCTTTCTACATGAACACTCAAGGACATACATACTTACGCTCAGGTACCAATACCATTGTTTTTCTCTCACGCCAGGATGTACCTTTAAGCATGCTAATTTACCGAAGAAACTCTCCAGTGATAAATAAATTTAAGCTTTATTTCGAAGTGAAAACCTCTGTGCGGTGTCGCTAAATTTCTCAGATAAGTCTCAGTTTAGACACGTAGAACAGACGTTCACTTTTGTTCGTTACGATCCCTGCTCTTATAGCTTCACATCTTACTTTGATCTCTGATTCATCGATTAATGGCACTTTTAGTTCCATTCATCATCAATCAGTTCAAAGCTATCTCAACGATGAATCACCAAACGTTATATCAAGGAAGAAATTTTCTGCTGAAAGCTACGACGGGATTGACATTGCAACTCAACTTACGAAAGCATGAACCAGGACATAAGAATCTGTCTCAAAGTGAACAATTTTTTCAACTCATCAGGCAGTTTAGCAGGTAAGAAATCTACAGTTGATTAATTAAGGATTACCAGATTACATGCACACTGGTTTTCCAACATTTACGGTAGATAGGGATATTTTTATTGATTATGATTAATGTCGAAACAAATATATCAATGCCATGGCCAAACTGGGAAACTACTTACCGCAATCCACAAAGTTCATCCTCAAAGACTTTCAGTCTTTTCATTTCTCTGCTGATAAATAATTCAACATAATTTCTGAAAATTGTGTAATTAATGACTTTGATGCGCAGAAAATTCTTTTCTGGGATTTTAAGCGTAGTGGTCACTAACTTTTCCCTGATTTTGGAATGTCCTCTTTTGACATTAGGTGTCTCAGATAAAAATTCTTTTCACAAAAATTTCAAGTTTTTACTTGACTTAATTTTAAGTGTTTAGTCTCTTTAAACTGAAAAGTCCAATTTTTTTACTGGGAGAAGGAATTTCAATGCTCCGCAGCAAAACTACCTGACATATTTTCATAGTGAGGAGGGCTTAATTTCCTAACTTTTACAGAACCTGTCACCCTGTCTATCCCTCAGAAATTCAGTGAACCAGATGAGATTCAATGAGGGTCGTTGATAACTTTACCACTAAATTGATACCGCTTAAAGGATTTTGGAGGGAGCAATTTTACCCACTAACATTGTTGTCAAACAGGGTTTATTCATCAGAGCCCTGAATTGAGGAACCAAGAGAAAATAATTTGTTTTCATTTACTCCTCAAAGATGATACTATGACCATGATGCAGGTCAGTACCTATGAGAACTATATAGATCTCATAAAATTTCAGTAAACCTTGTCGCTGGGGGAAAGATCTAATACATACTGAAGATAATCATCGAATAATGTACTCTCCTAAATATAGACAAAAATTACAATGAAAATGTTCATTATTTGATGAAAAATAAAGTACAAAAATTTTCAGAGTCTCAGAGGACACCAAGAATGCCAAAAAATCTTAAAATAATTTCCTTTCACAAACAAAAATAAAAATGACACTGAACATTTTTAGCAGGGCTTCTTGATAATCAGAGAACAAAAATTTTGAGAGCTTGACACTTTTAATCCTTACAATTTTTAGATTGTAACACTAATGAGGTCTGGGAAGCTGTTGAATGCCCTGATTTCCAAACTTCTATTACTCAAGCAGCTGCACACATTTCTTTGAATTTCAATTCCATGGTAAAATTATTTCTATTGCATTGTAGTGTTGAGAATGTTGCCTATTTACTCATTGAAGGAACAATTTTTAGAGCAATTAATTTGAAATAAGTACCTACCGTTGTTGCAATTTATCATTGAATTTCTTCGTATTTCTTTTCTTTCTTCTTTTTCTTTTCTTGGGATTCTACAATTGTATTTCTTTTCAGGGATATCTACAGTTGTGTAGATTTTAAACTCATCTCTTTTTAAAACTAAGAGAGCGTTGAAATAATTATCACTTACCATGTATAACTTTCTGCAAAATTTGCCTCAGTTGATGCTCTCACAAGTTCAGTTGTAAAGTCAATTCAGCCATAGCTTTCCGAAGAAAATTTCTTCTTCGATCTAACAATTAATGATTAATCGTCGAGATAGCTTTGAACTGATTAATTAAAAATGACAGTCAAGGGTGTAAAAAAATAAGACGGATCCGAGAAACTTTGCTACACAGCAAGGAGATATCCACTTCATAGCTATAAGCATTAAATGGATTACATTTTGCAATTAGGAGCCACTATTTCTGGTCCATTTTAGAAACAGAATACATGCTATTGGTTTCCCTATGCAGATATGTGCTTCTATGGGAGAGCCAGAGGTAATGGTTCCTTATTGTAAAATGTAATCCAATTCCTTCACAAGTGCGGGACTTCATTTGGTAAAATAACAGTTTTCTTGCAAAAATGAGATGATATAAACTCCAAAAAACCCAAAAACTTGGGTAAAGAGACTCCGGGCAAGTCACCATCCTCTTGCCAAAAACCTCCAAAAGCTCTTCTTTGTTCCCCTCTTCAGTTGAAAAAGAAAATATCACACTACGACAGTTTCCATTTCTGTCATAGAGTACCCCAAGCGGACCAAAGAACGGAACTCTTAGTCGTTTACACATTTACCTATTCAACAAAATCTCCAGGAGGTCACAGACAGGCTGGCAGCCCCTCATCGGACCAAAACGCACACCGTACCATTTTTTTCCTTGTAGGTATGTGCCTCCAAAGTACATGAAATGACTCCTTGAGGGGCGGGCAAGTTAGATTGAAATTCACGTTGTCCTCTGAAAATGAGCTAAAATTTTTACTTTGAAGAAGAAGAAAATCGAGTTATCATTTTCTTCCATACACGGTAGGTATGCCTATGAGAGGCACCAGGAACGCCTTCCAAAATTATTGATGCAACCCGCACGACTCCGAAGTCAGCGGAAACTTTCTTGAAGCGTCTCCTAAGATTTTCCCTACGCAATAATCCCCTTCAAAAATGAATGATGCAACAAGCGCGTCCTGTTTGACCACGAAAGCTCCTCAGATGAGAAGTCTTTTGGTCTGGTCAGAAAAATATTCGAACTTTATTTTTCATCTTCTCTTCTCATTTCCCGCATTCACGGAGGCGAAATTTTTTGGAAAGCATGACGCGCCCGGCCCAATGCGTAAAAAAAAGCGCGAATAGAATATGACCTTCCATTATGAATGATCGTTCAGGAATACTTGTACAACAAAGACGGTACTGTTTATTTGGAAGTGTACAAAGCCTCCTCGTAGTCATAATTGACTTTTTCCATTCTGATCCCGTACTATCAGTTCGGAAATTGGCCTCATTCTCAGTGAGCCCGAACATCTGTTTCCTAAATATTTTTAGCAGTCTATCTACAGGTTGATCCTCAGTGAGAGCATTGGGCCGGGCGCGTCATGCTTTCCAAAAAATTTCGCCTCCGTGAATGCGGGAAATGAGAAGAGAAGATGAAAAATAAAGTTCGAATATTTTTCTGACCAGACCAAAAGACTTCTCATCTGAGGAGCTTTCGTGGTCAAACAGGACGCGCTTGTTGCATCATTCATTTTTGAAGGGGATTATTGCGTAGGGAAAATCTTAGGAGACGCTTCAAGAAAGTTTCTGCTGACTTCGGAGTCGTGCGGGTTGCATCAATAATTTTGGAAGGCGTTCCTGGTGCCTCTCATAGGCATACCTACCGTGTATGGAAGAAAATGATAACTCGATTTTCTTCTTCTTCAAGGTAAAAATTTTAGCTCATTTTCAGAAGACAACGTGAATTTCAATCTAACTTGCCCGCCCCTCAAGGAGTCATTTCATGTACTTTGGAGGCACATACCTACAAGGAAAAAAATGGTACGGTGTGCGTTTTGGTCCGATGAGGGGCTGCCAGCCTGTCTGTGACCTCCTGGAGATTTTGTTGAATAGGTAAATGTGTAAACGACTAAGAGTTCCGTTCTTTGGTCCGCTTGGGGTACTCTATGACAGAAATGGAAACTGTCGTAGTGTGATATTTTCTTTTTCAACTGAAGAGGGGAACAAAGAAGAGCTTTTGGAGGTTTTTGGCAAGAGGATGGTGACTTGCCCGGAGTCTCTTTACCCAAGTTTTTGGGTTTTTTGGAGTTTTAGGAATTATACGACTGATAGTGGATGCAGTAAAATCACTGTCAAAATAGGTGAATATAAATTATAATTCCAATTTTTTGATAATTAACAGCACCGGCTATAAATAATATGGCTTTAGTTTTCCTCTATTAATTCATTCAGATTCATAAAAATATCAGTGTTAATAATACCAAGATGTATACCATTCAAAACTACAGCTGTTATAATAATAAGTTGATCATCGAATTCAAATTATGCATTTATTGGAATATGTAGTTCAAACAATTTTAAATATGATTTCATATGAAATTTTATCTTTTTTCTCTTTTACGATTTAAAATGCCGAAAACTTCAGCAAAATGTCTCGTCTTTTTTTCTGCTTTGATTTCAGCCTCTTTCCCTTGGGCTGTGTTTTAGTGTTACATTATTTTGAGCTATATTAAATTCACTTACACTTAAAGTTAGTATATTAACAGACAGAGAGAGAGAAAAAAACACTACCACTGTAGTTTGAATACTATCAACACAGTTCTGGTGACTATAAGTTTGGGAGTTTTCACTTTCTTTATTGGAAAAGAGTATTTAAATGCTCATAAGGTTACTGCAAAATGCATTGAAGAAGAGAGGGTTCCAATAATACTAACCTTGCAGAATTCGAGTGAGTTTCGAATCTCTGTAGTTGATATAGGAGCTTATTCCTTCACCTAAGGCTGAAATTACATTACCAAGAGCAAGAAGACCTTTGTTGATGTTGGTCCCTTCAAGGAAGCGATCTCCAATCGCTTCTGTTTTCTTCACCCTTTCTGATCCAGCAAGGTCGACAAGGTGAAACTTAGCGGTCATCCTCTCTTTTCTGAAAATATTAAGAACGTTTACATTATAATTACAATGTTCAGATTATTTCTGGAATTACCAGTAAAATTCATTGAAAGAACTGCACATCAAGTAAGTCTAATTTGCTTGTAGCAGACGCTTGTGCCACTTGATATGTTTGATCAATAGATATTGTGTCCATAGTTTCAAGCCCCCAAAAAATTTGAGAGAGTCAATGCTGAAGATGAAAGGCAGAGGCTGTCACAGTGTTTAACGATGAAATATTCGAAAAAAGAATTGCAGCAAAACGCAATTTTCATAAACAGTTGCAGTGTAACGAGAACATTCAGAAGATAAGCCTCACTATATGATCTTGATACATTAAACCTTGTAAAATTCTCCAAAATACTGGAATGCAAAAGACACTCCTTCTTCATTTTACACCTAGGTTGATTCCCACACTAGTCAACTTGAAATTTACATGAAGAACAGTGCAAATTGCACAGAAGCTGTCCATCGCTTAGGCAACACCAACATCTGCTCAATTCACAGAACTGAGATTTCTTTCGATTTCACAGAGTTGTTACAACTGCCCCATTTTCCCTCACACACAACACAATTCAGCATCAGCTCAAGATCGTAAGATAACACTGCAGCAGAGGCACAACACTTCTTTCTATTTGCGAAATAGAGAGAGACTTCTCTGGAAGCCAGATATAATCAGAAGCATTGCAAAAGGCGGTTTGAAATTTAGGTTTTTCTCAAAATTGGCTTGTTTTTGCTTTATTACTTTGGGACTATTGTTTTTCCTGCAAGCGCTGAGAAGCTGAAGGGGCTCAAGAACGTCTCAAGCAACAAAGCAGTTTATCATAAAAATAAAAAAATGGCTACTTTGGGAATCAGCCTAGACGTAAAATGATTATTTGATTTTTTACTTTTTTGGAGGGGAGGGGGTCCTTTTCAGCATTAGTAAGCTATTACTAAAACTTCAACTTCATGAAAATCTGTCATAGGTATGATATATTTTCATGCTAAAATACTTGTGCTTGGTATTTTGTTATACAGGATGTCTATTTTTTTTTCATTTTAGGAAACCCTGATTTTTCCTGATTTTTTACTGCTAAATCCTGTTTTCATAATTTATGGCGGAGAAAAATTAACGGAAGGATAACGGATAATGAACAGAAAATAAGCGGACGGCCGACTTTTCTCAAATCCAGATTTTATGACAAATTTTTCCTCAAATCCTGATGAAATTGGGATTAAATCCTGATTGATCTCAAATCCTGATAGAATTGGGAAAATCCAGATGCTATACACCCTGTTATAATTCTGAATCCTTGAATCAATGATCACCAGAAAATTCGTTGAATTTACCTTTTGACACTAGAACGTTTTTGAGAGGCTCCTCAAACTTTGTGAGTGGACAAGGCAATATCTTCTGATCGAATGTGTTAAGTTTCCTAAACATCGTCCTTATTTGAATTTGGATCTGTTTTGCACATACTCTTACCCCCTTAAATTCAGAATCATTCTTTTTTATAGTTGCCTGTAGGCTAGAAAATAGTATTCCATCATTGAAAAGAGTGTGTAGCCAGGCAAAAATATTTCTTGCCCAACAGAAACTCAGTATAGCTGCACTCTAAATAATCTTATCTTCAAATGTAACTAAATTGTGCTGCCTCAAATGGCTGTCCAACATCTTTATTTTTGATGACAGTTCCTGATTGCATGTGACAGTTTCAGTAATAGGTCATTTGCGCTGGTCACAGAATCATGTTTTGACGCTTCATTCTAGTGGATCAGCTAAAAATAATAAGATCTGTCCAAACAGCAACTTTCTACTTTGAATATTAACCAAGATATCGCGCTTTGAAAATTTGGTTTATGATGTCATCAGCCGCAGTAGTGACACCCTCGGTTTCTTCCACCTTGCTTTCATCAGTCAGGGAAACACTTATTTGCTCTGGTTACTCAGCGTGTTACTAGGATGAAAGCAAGGTGGGAGAGACCAAGGGTGTCACTACTGCGGCGGATAACATCATAAACCACAATTTCTCAAAGCGCCGATACCTCGGTTAAATTTCAACGTAGAAAGTTGCTGTTTGGACCGATCTTAATATTCGTAGCTGATCTATAAGAATCAAGCATCAAAATACGATTTTGAGACAAGCGCAACTGACCGATTAATGTAAACAGTTCGGGTTTGCAAGAGGGGGAATGTTCAGCGTGCGAAAATTTTACAGCATGACCTCCGCTTTTGGGTTGATTTCATGTAAAAATAAACTGTATCACAGCGGAAGAGTCTACAAGCATTTGATGAGTTTGAAAAGAGGAGACATGGATAAATTGAGTAAATGATTGTTGCTTACTTTTCACTTTTGCTTTCTTGCTTGATTATAATACTAAATATGGCGTGTGAGCGAGAACTAGTAGCGTTCATAGCTGTAGCTCCGGTTGCTCTGTTAGCTGATCCACTCTCTAAGCACGACAGTGTTTCTAGCTTCGAGTTGACTGGCTTCTCTGTCAAGCCTAGAAGAAGATTACGGAGCAATTAGGTTTCTCATGGAAACTGATACTTTGGGGAAAATCAGAGTATAATATATACATGCTCAGAAGCAGAAATAATGGGACAACTTCTAAAACAATTTTCAGAAAGGGGTGGCTTTCAGAAATTTCAGCGAGGATCGAGAGTGGCTTCCTTTCATATGATATTTTTAAAGCCGACTTTTTTTTTCTCAAATGGCTAAAATACATGCAAGTGTCACGAGCTCTAAAAACGGTAGAAATTAAAGTACCAAAAATCGGGATTCCTCATCAAATTTGAAAAAAGAACACTTTGAAAATGGTCAGGATTGCTTAAATAACTTGCTCATGAGACGAAATCATAGTTCACATTAAAGTTGGTCTATTCAAACTCCATACAGGGGGTGGATCAACATATAGATAACTTTGATCTGTGAAACTTAACTTAAATGTTCAACAAATAATCAGTTTCATCTGATCAAATTTTGTGCCCTTTTTTTGTCTCAAAGCACTTATTTAACTTATTAGAAACAATGAATTGTTCTGAGAACAATAACCTTGTCAAGAAACAATGTAGTGTTCTGAAGACAATGCGCTATTGAAAAGCTAGTGAAATTATTCTAAAGCCCAATCCGACTCAAGGAGATTGACTGTTTTTTTGGGAAGCAGGGAGTTCAAATCAACCAACTTGAAAATTGCTATTTTTAAATCTCATCTGTCTCTCCTGCTCACTTTGCCTCTCTACGCCTGGCATGGTGCTCCTGAAAGAGGTTTAAATCAAAGCTGGCCGAGACTCAGAAATTTGAGCTGGAATGTCAAGAGGAGCACTACCAGATACTAAAAACCACTATTTCGAAATCGGTTGTCGGAGTTTCTGCAGAGATAATCAAGATTTTATGGTTTTTTCTAGGCTTGTCAGAAAATAGGCTCATTTACGGCAACTAAATTCCCCCTGCCCCATTTCTTCTTGGATTGACCTGAATTTTTAGTATATCTCTCTCTGGTATAAAGTACGAGAATCCTGAAATTTTCATGACTGAGAAAATTTTTTTGATCTCGTTAAAACGTTGCAAGGTTTCAAACTTCAAAATTATAGATTTTGCCAAAAAAATTGTGACACTGGCCCCCTGCTTCTTGGATCGGTCTGAATTTTTAGTATGTTATTCTTCAATATGATGTGAAAATTTCCTGAAATTTTCATGGCAGGAAAATATTTTTCCTCTCTTTGCAACATTGCCAAGTTTTCAACTTGAAAATTTTGAGTTCGGAGGTAACACGATGGCATGGGCCCATGTCTTAATGAATTGATCTGAATTTTTAGTATGTTATTCTCCCATATAAGTAGCAAATTCCCTGAAATTTTCATGAGCAGAAAATTTGTTTCCCTCCCGTTTCGGCACTGCCAAGTTTCGAACTTCAAAATTATGGATTTGACTATAAAATGATGGCGATTGGGCGGGATACCTTGCAGAACTAGCTTCATTTATGAGTAATTTCATAAAATGTTCCAATAATTTGTCCCTTCAGAGCTGTAAGATTGCCTTGTTGCCGTTTTACTATGTACTTTTATTCCGGATAAATGTACCTATGCTGCATCTTGCTGCAACTGCACATGCTGGTTTTTTCATTTACTTTAGCAGCATCCATTTAAATATAATATGATACGCTAGGAAAGAAATATTCTCAGTTCCAACTTTGACGGAAAGGCCATTTCTACAAGAGGTTTGCCTTTTATTTTTTGTTGGTTTTCAAATGAAACCAAATTTGGCTCAAATTCTCTTCTTTTCTTTTTAAATTAAAGGGTTTGACATTATTTCCCCCACCCCTTAGTTTGATATGTAGTGACTGAACACCTCCGAAATACAAAATGGTAGTGCATATACGCAAATAAAAACAACAATTTAAAAAGTATTTGAAACAATCACATGAGAGTCAGAACCTTTGTCTTGTCATTTTAGGGACCAAAATACTCCACTAAGACCTTCACTGCCATGCTAAGGAAGAAAGCCGTATAAGCCTTCAGACGTTTCCGAATTTCCAATGACAAATCACACATTTTTGGGAAAATTTGTAAAAATTTTTCTTCTGATTTTTCAGAGAATTTCACTTGTAATTTCATCGGAAGTATCTAAATATTTCAAGGAAAAATATTAATAAGTTTCCTTAAAACAATATATTTTCTGAGAGGAAATTTGGAAAAATTAGAAGGCTCGAACATCGTTGTTTCTTGGCATGGCAGTTCAGCACACATAAGGTTCCCATGTAATGCATTTTTTGGTACAAACTGTACAGCTGTGCAAATCGCAAAGACTTCTTTCAACGTCTCGTTGAAAAAATTCGGAGGCTGCATATTCGTATTGAGCAGTAATCTTCCTCGATCAAGAATACTTCACATCTTGAAAAAAAAGTGCTAGGTAAACAATGATCATAACAATTACCTGACAAGAAGACGCCTTTGCTATCCTCTCGAACCTCCACAACTGTTTGCTCCCTTGGTTTGGTTGACAGCAAATCATAGACTTGCTCTTTATACAGCTCTACGAAAGACACTGTGATGTTGAAGTTCCAGTCTTCTGCTTTCTCTTCAACGTAGTAAAAAATGTCATCGATGGACCTCGGGATGATTCCTTTGGTTCCGCTCTCACCAGAATAAGCTGTGCCCATAGAATAGGTCTTGCCCGAACCGGTCTGTCCATATGCTAATATAGTTACATTGTAACCTGTAGCAATAAAAAAATAAAGAATGAAGATGTCAGTTTGCTTCCAATGTCTTGAAAGTTAATCAAAGTAAAAGTGAGACATTTTAGATTTTTCTGGTACTTACGTCGATCAGAGCTGCATGCTTTGACTGCAATTCAAAATCACAATTCACACTTCTAAGATTTGTGTGCTAGACGCACCCGCTTCCCCCACCCCAATTAAGTACACCAGCGGGCTGATTATTGAAATTGATAGACAAAGCCATAGACAAAGAAGACAAAAGAGATATGGAAGGGTCCTATTGGTGGAGGCAGGTGGTTCCAATAGACAAAGGAGGTAGGTAATAGACTAACTAACGGCAACCCATGGGAGATCCGACACTTAGTCTATCATTTTCTCCCTTTGTCTAAAAGAACCACCCATTTCAACCAATAGGATCACTCCATACTGCCTATGTCTTCTTTGTCTATAGCTTTGTCAATCAATTTCAATAATCAGCCCGCAAGCCTTTGTAAAGTCTTAGGAGGCCTTTCAACAGAGATGCAGAGACTCTTCAGCAAGATTTTTGAGGATACTGCGAGACTTATACCGCAAAAAATATAAATATATATACATAATAGCTTATAAAAATCCTTTTACTAAGCTGATGCACATATAGTGTGCTCAAAAATTCATAATGGGCTGACATTCATTAGAGTACAAAGTTTGAAAAAATACTTGAGCCAGCGGCAAAATAAGAGACATTGAATGTGATAGTAGATTTTCCTACATTCCAGCTGACAGTCAGAGAGGAATACGCTATTTACCTGGGACAAGACAATCGGAATTCCAAGGAGTTGAAGGGTCATTCTAGGCTTGAGTGAGCGAAAGAAAAAAAACTGTTATCTTTACCTAAAGCACTCACGACGGGGGAGATGATGAAAACTGCAATGCTTCCCATTTCTTGGGGCCAGGGCTTATGAAAATGGAGAGGCCCTGAAAACAGGTTTATGAAATGGGAAGACCGACAAAATTTTGCAAACTACCGTAAAATTCAAGAGTTTTTCATTGCAAAATCAAGGCTTTAGTGCAAATAAAACTATCACATTGAAATTTCTGAGGGAAGAGGGATTATCAAATGGAAAAGCCAAGAACTTTCTGCATTCATGCATATATTTTTTCTGGGTTGTGTTTTCAAAATTCATAGATTTAAGCTATACATCCTCAAAAATAAAACTCTATGTCCATTTTGAGAATCATCCACCACACATTTTGACTGAACTGATATCCATTTGGTAAAAAAAAAATGCTTCTCACCTTTAAACAGCTTTATTATCAAATTTTTGACTGCTGTGTTGTAAACTTCTTCCTGAGTCTTTGATGGGTCAAAAACATGGTTGTAAGTAAATTTTAAATTAGGCGGCACGCATATCTGAGGTGTATCGACTGCTGTTTCTAGACAGGAGCCCGAAGTACGCTCGGTCTCGGATTGATTTAGCGGGCGGATCCGTACCGCCACTTGGACGGTGTCTGCCATCTGAAAGTTAACAATAAATCAAATGAGAGGTGCTCCCTCAAATCCATCTGACAAATTAATTGCTATTTAACTGCAATTTATCAAGGGTACAGTTGTCAAGTAGCGCTGTGGAAAGAAAAGAATGGACCAACGTCACATCAGCAAACGGCACCATTCAACAGAAATTTAGGTGCCAACCAATGGACCGATTACGATTAATGACAGGTGCATTCAGGTTGATGAAAATTTTGTTCATTCTTTTCTTTCTTGAATGCTGATCCTCTGGTGGAGTTTTCAATATATAACTTTGATCATTTTACAATCTAAAAAATTAGGTATGATTGGAATTCTGCAACGTTGCAAACTAAGATACATGTTTAGGCAGTTTCATGGTGTATGTTGTTTTTCCAATGTACATTGAAGAAATTATGAAAACATAAAAACACTGCTCATTTTCAAAAAAATTATCCCCAAGAAAATGAGGACTTCTTACACCTTTTCACAAGCACTTTCGCAGTCTTTTAATTTTCTATAAATATTTGATCATCATAAGAGCCTCGGAGAGCAGACCGGAGACTTAAGGAATGCACTATACCAATGACGGGAGTGCGAGACGACGCAACTCCACTTGCGACATGACAGATTTCCTGTCATACTTTATTTTTCATTAGAAAACTAAGTAGTCAACATAATAACTTGAAAACTTCCTTGATTTTTCGTATTTATAGCGGAATAATCTGTATAAATTTCACGCTAAGAAGTTGGCTGAAACCTCTTCCAAATAGTAAAATAGGAAGGGATATTCTGAAATTGCAATTTTTCTGAATTTTTCGGAGATTGAAAGGAGGGATATTCTTGATGGAGATACATGGCACTAAAGCCGTCGATATTGATGGTATAGTATTTCAATGTGATTTAAGCCCAATTCACACTAGCAAACTTTCCATCCGAAATAATTGAACGCAAAAAAATTTGATTCAATTACCTTTGCAGTGTGATATCTTCATTCCAGGTTTCTGACTCCGGATATTAGTATTTGGGTATTTCCGTCAGCCTTCAGCAGGCCGATTATTGAGACTTTAAAGCAGCCCAATAAGACATCAAATTGCGACATATTGCATGGTTAAGATAGGGCTATGTCATATCATACCAACATAGTTTCAATAATCGGGCTGCAGTTCATGAAGATACAGCTTTGGCTGCTGTACTATATCAACTAATAGACCAATATATCCTATTGTTAGAGATGTTGTCAGCTAAGTTGACGGTTGTTTACTTCTGGTTTGCAAGTGTCAACGACGAATTTGAGCCCCTGAACAAAGCGGCGTTCGCTACTATCCACATTGAAAAAATCAGTCTCATGATCGTATCGTAAAAAAACTACTTATCAGTCATGATTTGCGACTTTTTTGTGGTTGTGATTTCTGTGTGGCTAAAAATTCAAGTGTTACAGGGTTTGAAAGTATTAAAAAACTTATCTAAGCTTGTGTTCTTGCTTCTGAGAGAGTCTGATATTTTCATGTGGACAGTAAAGACGCGAAAACGCTTGCAAACCGAAAGTAAACAACCGTCAACTTAGCTGACGACACCTCTAACAAAGACATTATAACTGTATGCCCCTGAAAGACACGGGGTCTTTGCTGCTTCCAAAAATTAGATAACATAATAAAATTTGAGCATCTCGTGGAGCTAATGGTATAAAAAGGTTAAGGTTGGTTGATCTCATAACGCGATTCACCAATTAGCATGGAACGAGCAACACCCAGTCTGAGTTAAACGACACAAAACAAGTGTAATGCTAAATGGTTTGATAGTCTTTTTACCGATAAAGAGACAAGATTGATGGGATCGAGAATGAGTGTAGAAGGATATTTGAGCTGATAAAAGGCTAAGCTGAAAGATAGCCATGTGCTCAGTCATCTTCTCCTCGGAGCAAGGTTCTCTTTCAGGTGCTAGAATGAAAGTAATTCACGAAAATACACTGATGATTAATGAACGTATAATGAGGCGGAAAAGAGAGTAATAGAGATGAATTACCTTTGTCCGCAGGCGAGGAGAATAGGCTTTGGGAAAGACAAACTCACAAACCCTTCTTTTTCCGCCTTGCAGTCTTGAACATCTTGAACCTCAAATCGTCAAATCAAATCTCAATTTCCGTATTTTCCGTTAAAAATCGGACACTGTGATTGGTGCAAGAAATCAGTTTGTGCCAATCTCTCTGAAAAAACTCTAAAGGTTTTTGCTCCCATAACACGTTTAAAAGTTATCAGTGGAGACTTCCTTCCTCAAAAGTTAGCAGGAGTGACTATAAATATTTAAAAATAATTTATTCGTAGCGAAGGAATCTTCTTACTACAGAGGAAGCATTGAATTGTTCTTCCAGATCAGATCAAATTGAGATCGGCAAGTTTGGCAGACTGGACGGATCGATATATTGAACAACGGAGTCTCGCTCGATCGATCTCTCAAATAGACCGTATTCGATAACGGTTCGATGTATCGTTTGGTTCAAAACAATAGAACATAACCTCAAACCAAACTCTAAGGATTTTAATTGAAAAAGCTGAAAATGAGAAATTTCCTGACAATTTCACTTTGCATCGGCATTCGGTACTCAAAAGAATAAAAAATCTGTTACAAAAGACCCGTTCCCTCAGATTTCTGAATTTACTTTTGAGGCTAGGCCAGGTTGGCCTAGTGGGGTCAGAGACAAGAGACCCTCCACTGGCCTCCTAGCGACAGGTGGAAGCTTTTACTTTCGGGGTTTCAACAATTCCTTATGGACAATTATGAGCGAGCAACAGTCATCACCATATTTTCGGCTGTTGACTTACCTACATGGTCGATGATGAGCTTCGGATGACGTCATAAGCCAAACAACTTTCCCAAACGTCGGCCATTTTCGGCTTGTTTGCAAAACGAAACTGCCAACACGTTGTTGAACATCAACCATGTAGGTAAGTCAACAGTAGAATGCTGAAGTCCCGAAAGTAAAAGCTTCCACCATGGCCAAGTTACTAGTGGAGGGTCTCTTGTCTCTGAGTGGGGTTCGAATCCCGGTGTTGGCGACAAATTTTCATGGAACTGACGAGTGGATCTGCAGAAACAGATTCCACTCGGCCTCAATCCCTGAAAATTTGAAAGCCTGGAGCTATGGAACGCCGTTAGTGTCAAAACTATGGAACGCCGTTAGTGTCAAAACCCTTTTCTTGCGCGCGCGGAATTTTTTCTGGCGCGCGGAATTTTTTTTCGGCGCGCGGATTTTTAAATTTAAAAAATTTGACTTAAAACGCGTGATACCCAAAATCGAAGCTCAGATTCGGATTCCTCGTTAAAAATCGATGCAATTTCATGTATCATACCCGAGCATAGCGTGAAGGAAAGAGACGTAACTTAGGAGTTAGGCGTACTGATTTGAGCATATGAATCCAACGTGGCAACATGGGTAGTACTCAGTGGGTCAGCGGAGGAGGAAGAATAAGAATTTATCGTGAGGAATTCCTCGGGACCACCTCGGGACGAATATGGAACGCCGTTAGTGTCAAAACCCTTTTCTTGCGCGCGCGGATTTTTTTCTGGCGCGCGGAAAGAAAAAATCCGTTTTCGATGAAAATCTCTGAATTTCCGG